GATGTTCAAATGCTGACAAGGTTTGTGGGTTATGACACAAGCATCATTTAAATGAAAATGGCATCACATTTTCTAGAAAAGAATAATTTACACTGTCAAATTCCTATTCCGGAAATTCCAGTAATGTCCGAAAAACATAATTTATAGATGTACATAGCAGTTTTCTCCAGCCTGCTGCAATAGAAACCATAATTTTGATGGACTGTTTTCAGAAACCAACAAGGAACACTTTGGAATTATTTTTAAGGAAGTAACCAAAGTGAGTGGAATAAATGCCTTCAGCCTATTTTTAAAAATGCAGCCCAAGGACTGCATTATGCATTGCTAGAATTCAGTTCAGACCTTTCAAGCAGTGTCAGGAATATAAAAAAAAACTAAAAAATTGAACAAAAAAATCTCAATTGCTAAATTTCATGACCTTTCTAAATGGCATTTTTTCCAGAACGGCTTTGACTGTGACAAGAATAATATGCAGGAACCTAGTGTTTACAGTGACCCAAATTGTACAGTGAGCTTTGGCCCCCTTGTGGAAAGGAATGTCTTTTCCCTTAACTGCTTTCAGATGTTCAAAGGATACTGAATACACATGGGCCTACAGTATGTGGAAATCAGTTACTGATACAGATTGAATGGTAAAAAGAAAGCATTGACAAGACTTCGGAAGAGACTGCTCTACAGTGAACAAACCCAAAACATTTTGAACCACCAACTTTAGGTCTATTCATTCATGAGGTTGGGAAATATAATTTGCAGCAACGTGAATCTCTCTTGCAGGTTAAAGTTCAACAAAATTAATTTTATCTGAAGTCCATATTGCACAACAATAGGGTTTGCACATTCAGCGTTATTTCTTATTTGATATTTGATGAAAGATGTACTTTGACAATATAAACGTGGAAAGAGCTAAGTTTTTTTTTAATGAATTAGTCACATCGTGAAGGGGTCATTTATTGGGATTGGATAAACAAAGCAAATTATACCACCAGGAAGAATACTTTTTTTTTTTGATAGAGGTAGGTGCCTCCACAGTCCAGAGGCCAAACATGCTAAAAATCATTGGGATGTTAAAAATCAAGTGTGTGGATGAATTCTAAATGTGTGTGTTCTGAATTATGGCAGCAAGAAGAATTTTACTGAAAATT